AAGTGCTGTGTCCATTCAGGATGTGGAAGATTATGTGTCTCTACAATTTCTTATCTGCTATGGGACCTTAGCCATAATAACATAATGGACTATTCCATACGTAATAAATTCTGCGCCTCAAGAGGAAGCAGGGAGTTCAGTCTGAAGTCTGGAGTGAGGTCCGTCAGAAGTTCGTCAGGAGTCTGTCAGTCAGAACGAGTGAGTCAGTCAGTCGAGTCAGAGGCAGTCCGAAACAGAGTCACGTTCAGACAATTACTACTAAACCTGATTGTTCGTACTAACCCTTTCTCCTTCTCTGTATATATTCTTGTTTGTAATATATCTGTGTTATTCCATATCTGTGTTCGAGTTCTTCTTTATTGGTTCTACCTTGGACTATCACCGTGGTACAAGGAACCGGACCATAACATTATCCTTCATAGACCTATGCAATGTTTATCCTCTTACTATCCGTCCAAGTCCCTGTTCAGTCATTTGTTTACACCAGCTCATTATATAGGTTTCTCCATGTCTCTCGTGGCTTCAATATATCACATTTTTTAAGCCCTTCTTCCTCGTTATGAGTTCCAGATATTTTAACTGTCTGTTTCTGATTCTAAACACAATGGCCTTTTCGTTTTCATTTTATTTTGTTTTACAGCATATCAACCTCAATGGGTTATTTAATACCGACAACATTTTTAGGATAGATTCGTATGAATAGAATATGTAGTTTATCGTCTTACCTAGGACGCGGATGTAGTTTAACGTCTTACCCATGACGATATAACCTTTAGGAGAGCTAGTGTTAAAAGAGATTTACAATAGATGTACAAATAGAATGACATAGTTTCACAATAGACCAGCAAATATATTTATAGACTTACAAATAGAATAACACATGGATTAATAAAAGATTTACAACACTGACAAATAGTACAGTTAAACCATAAACACCTGATGATTGACTGTTTCTTACAGTTTCGCTTTCCGTCGCAATTCGAATTGACATCATCTTATTAAACCGCTGTAATTAAAAGTAAAACTTAATGGAGAAGGCGATGTGGCTCATGCCGATTAAGGACGTTTAGACTTTTTAAGAAGGATGTCTATTTCCACAGCTTTTTTTTTTTTTTTTTACACAGACGGTGTATAACACGAAAGTGTCCTTCAAACAAGATGTTATTTCACAGACGACAATGTTATAGACAAGCGCAAGAAAGAAATACGACAACAGCAGAAATAGATTTACGTGGTTTATTTCAACAGGAACGTATGGGTTTGGGACAGCTACCTTGTGGTAAAGTTTATAAGCCGGCTTCGGATATAAGATCGATCTCTCATAGTAGTTCCAACATGTTGACGGTGGTTGACGCTCCCCTGCTGACAGCATCTCATCGTGACAGGTCTCTACCTGTGGACTATATTTAGTCGTCCCCCCACGAGGGCGTCATGTGGCACAAGGCCTTTTTAACGTGGGCATTTAAGAGCCATTAGGCTCAGGCCAAAAAATAGCCCATTTGAACCCGTATAAACGGGTTCAGGGCCGGTTTTATCTCCCCGAAGGAGACTCCGCCCTTCGGCGTAGCCTCCTTCGGGTTCCTCTCTGTCCGTAGACAGAGAGTTGAACCGAACTGTCTGTGGACTGCCTGTTGAACTTCCGTGTGACCCCTTTTATAGCGTTGTTTTATGGCTTAACAGGCTCGAAAAACGAACCCAGTATAATTAGGAGGGAAGCATATTTATTGGGCGAAAAATAGAACACTTTAAATATTATTTTATTTTTCGACCGGAACTCGAGTGTCGGGAACATTTGTAAATGAAGATAATGGTCATTTTGTGACGGGATTTTGTCCCGTTCATATCCGGCTCTCGCTCTTGCGTATATGCCTGTAAATCAGCCGAGATATGTCTTATTTTATTTTATAACAACAACAACGACAAACATGATATGCCTTTTTATGGGTAGGTTGAAATATGAGCTTAGGTAAAGTTTCTATTCGCAAATTAGCTCAATTTAAATGTTATTTCACATTTAAGTGACCGAATGGATCGAGCCAAGTTCTTTGTATTTAATAAATTCGAACCTGAGGAATTTAATGATTTCACATAGCGAAATTTGAAACGAATTAATTTCATATTAAATTAAATGCTAAACACAGTGAGTAAACCGTGTGCGTAAAGACCCGGTTGTGAGTTGCCTTCGCGGTCCCATTATATATATATATATATATATATATATATATATATATATATATATATATATATTAGCAGAGTAACAAAATAGATGTATGCAAAGTTTCATCAATATTGGAATTGGAAACGACATTTATTAAATGATATGTGAACGCCTTTGCCGCAGTTTTCGCGCGCGTATAGGTCGAGAACTCAGATTTGCTCAGAAAAAACACAGAAATTGATATATATATATATATATATATATATATATATATATTTCAATATCGAATGGAGTGAAAGGTTTACTTTAAAAAAATAATTCTTTATTACATGTTGAATTTCAGTTTCACTTTTCGTCGCGATTCGAATTTATCAGGTTGTTATTTCACAGCCAACAAAAACAACAACAATCCCGACATGCTTTTTTAAGGTTAGGTTGAAATAAATCCAAACCTGGCGAATTTAATGATGCACATGGTGCAGTTTGAAAAGAAACCCTAACGAAGTGGAATTAATTATATTATGGAACAAAGATTCATATCTGACTGGAATTTTAAGCTTAGCATCCTTCTGTAGAACTACATCTCTGTCACCTGGAGTCTCTTCTTCATCTTTGAGGAAATCATCCAACATTCGCTGCTGTAATGAAAGACAGATGTTACCACAGTATTCTTTGCTAGGGCTCCGAGATCGCAGCTCATCGCGGCGTTTTACTCGAAACACTGTTTTTACATGCTTATCACTTTGTTTAAGCAAGGGAGATAATTTGTTTTGCAAACTCTAGAAATTAAGATACACGTTTTACAAAATAATATAACACTTATAAAGCTTAAAATTCCAGTCAGATATGGATCTTTGTTCGATTTTTAAAATCTAGGGAACAACATCTGAACGAATCGCAGGTTATTTTGTAAATAAAATCTTTATTTAACACATTAATTTAATAGAATCTTTCTTTGAATACGATCTTCGTAGTTAGTATGTTTACATGGCAAACATATAATTTTTCCTACCGTTAACTCACAAACATGCTTTTGTTATAAAATCACCGATTGGTTAATTTTTCATCCAATCAGATATTTTTCGTGTTCTTTTAAAATTTATCCCGCGTTCGTGCTGGGAGCCTACCGATAATAATATGTCCGGATTCATTCCCAAATTAAACAGTAGAGTTGAAAACAGTTGAAGACAGTAGAACCCAACGATTCTCCCGCGTCTACACAGATTATTCATTCTACTCACTCCGCACGCACACACACAGACACAGAACTTGAATATCATTCACCATCAGTTCTTTGTGAACAAGCCAAGTTGCAACAACTCTGTTAGTTACAAAACACACAACTGTACGATCTTCTGAATACGCATTCTATTTTAACACAGAACACTGAACATTCTATTCAGAAAACTTGCTTAATTACATTTCCTAATTCAACTAACAGATAAAGGGAAACTACTTTTTTCTTCTTATTCACACATTACAAATTGCTTTGTATTTGTTGATTTTAATATATATTTTATCGTTGAAACACAAATCGGTTTTCCATTGTTTTTCCTTGATTTAAAAAAATGTATAAATGTTAAATGCTCTTCAACACGCAGCCACATTAATCTTTTCAACAGAACACCATTTACATTGGTAACCCCAACACGTAAGGAAAATAGCATTTACATTGGTGACACCGACGTTCAAGGAATATAAAAATACAAGAAGTGAAGTAAACCCTATTTTGTGCCAGCGACAGTAAAAGATCGACGTACAAAACTTCAATTTGGCGCGAAAATTTTTTGTCCACCACGTGCGTTGAGAACATCTATCCGACATGGCTGAACAGAACGCCAGCGAAGCAACCGTGATGCTCAACTTGCCAGTCTTTGACACGACCAAACGTGCATGTTTGGTTCGCCCAGTTAGAGGCTATTTTTCAAGCAAAAAAGATACAGTCCCAGATGGCACGTTATGCCTATGCAGTGGAGAAACTGCCACCTGAAATTGCGTCCGATGTGCTGGATTTGTTGAACAGCGTCCCTACACATAACCCTTTCGACACACTGAAATAGGCAATTATCTACAGGACGGGAAAGTCTCAGGAACGTAAATTGAACGATTTATTCAACACGTTACAGTTAGGAGATAGTAAGCCATCACAACTACTGCTGAAAATGAGAAATTTACTAGGCAAAAACGCAATGTCTGATTCACTATTTCGCAAGCTGTGGATGGATAAGTTGCCAACCCACACAACCCAAATCCTAGCTACACTACCCGAAGATTTAGACTTAGAAAAAACGGCGGAAATAGCAGACAAGATAAGTGATGTTGCAACTATCAGCAGTGTCAACGTTCCAGTGCTACACGACACGCCACAGGAGGACGTATTCAACAAACCTCAACAACAGATTAATAAGCTATCTGCACAGATAGATCGTTTGTACAGAGAGCGATCATCCTCAGCTCACAACTCATACAAGTCCCAACGACGTTCCCGATCTAACTCTCGGGGAAGAAACGATGCGTATTGCTGGTATCATCGCAAATTTGGTCAGGCAGTTAGAAAATGCACCAAACCGTGCAGTTTTAAACAGCAATTGGATTCTACATCAAGCCAGAACGCGGGAAACGGCATTCCCAACAGCGCATGAAGACGGCGTCTGCTGTTGGGATAGAAAACGCCAACCGTCTATTTTACGTCAGAGACAGAAACTTCGACAAAATGTTTCTCGTGGACACAGGTGCACAAGTTAGCGTGATTCCACCTAGTCCCGGTTTTCCCAATACAAGATCTTCAGTCACCTTACGTGCTGATAACGGTTCGCGAATACTGACCTTCGGTCAAGTATCAATGACTTTGGACATAGGCCTGCGGAGGACATTCCAGTGGTTATTCACAGTAGCTGAAGTCAAGTTCCCCATCCTAGGTGCAGACTTGGCACACTACAAACTTATTGTGGACATATTAAAACGCTCACTGTTAGACCAAACGACGAAACTTACAAATTACGGAATTACCTCCACCCTCACTTCCACTAAACTGTGCCTTGCCTTGCCGGTGGATAATCATTTTAAAAGTGTGTTGGATAAGTTTCCTTCGCTTGTCCGCCCTTTCACTTATACCGAAACGGTGAAGCACCACACCGTACATAAAATCCAAACATTTGGCTCGCCAGTCTCTTCCAAGCCGCGCAGGTTAAGCGCTGAGAAGTACAAACTAGCGCGCGCGGAATTCCAACATATGTTAGACCGAGGAATAATTCGCCCTTCGCCTAGCCCTTTTCGCGTCTCCACTTTACATGGTCCCTAAGGCGCAATAGGGGGCTTGGAGACCCTGCGGCGATTATCGAAGACTAAACACACAAACGGTGCCCGGCAAATATCCTGTGCCTAACTTTGCAGATTTCGCAATTTCTCTGCAAGTGTTCACCAAAACTGATCTGAGAAAAGCGTTCTATCAGATTCCAGTTGCCGAGGAAAACGTGCATAAGACAGCTATAACAACGCCCTTTGGCCTTTATGAGTTCCTGTGGATGCCTTTCGGATTTCGAAACGCTGCACAGTCTTTCCAACGATTGATCGATGAAGCCCTTCGCGGTTTACACCCCTCATTCGCTTACATCGACGACCTACTAGTGGTAAGCGCTGATATGGACGACCACGTGCGTCACGTGACACAAGTTTTTGAGCGTTTAGAGCACTTCGGATTGAAAATTAATCTATTCGCTGTTTCCAGACTTAACTTTCTCAGATACGTAATTGATGAATCAGGAATCACATCGATTCCAGAAAAAGTGACAGCAATAAAAAAAACTTTCCACAACCGACTTCACTCCGTCAACTCCGTCGATACCTCGGTTTACTAAACTATTATCGCCAGTTTATTCCAAATTGTTCACAGATCTTGGCACCCTAACCAACCTACTCCGAGGCCAAGGAAAGAAAAACGTCTCAATAACACAAACTGACGAAGCTCTCGCTGCTTTCATTAATTCACACGATGTTTTAGCGAACTTCACGAAGCTAACTTACGCGATGACAACACAGCAACTCTTTCGTTAACTACTGATGTGTCATCGGAAGCAATTGGAGTGGTTTTACATCAACACACAGAGAAACAAACCACGCCAATTTCTTTTTTTTTCAGTTAAGCTTACTTCAACCCAGAAGAAGTATAGTACTTTCTCTCGCGAATTGTTTGCTATATATCTTTCTATAAAACATTTTAGGCACATTCTGGAAGGACGAAACTTCACCGTTTACTTTACACCGATCACAAACCTTTAGTTTTCACCCTCCATACAAAATCAGATAAATATAATCCACGCGATTATAGACAGCTGGATTTTATATCACAATTAACCACCGACATATGGCACATAGCAGGCAACGGCAACGTTGTCGCCGATACGCTATCGCGAGTTTCCTTGCACAGTACCATTGAAGAAAACCGAGATATGGAAATTTTAGCAGACGAACAAGTAAGGGACGTCACTCTATTTAACTCATTGCAAGACTCGTCATCAAAAATTGAACAAAAACCCTTGCCTTTCAGTGCAAAGTTTATCACTTGTGACACAAGCACTTCCAATCCCAGACCTTTGGTACCTGTCAGTATGCGGAGGAAGATTTTCAATCATTTTCATACCCCGGTCGCAAAGCTACGTCAAAAATGATTTCCGAACGCTTTGTCTGGCCTAACATGAACAGTGACATTAAAAGCTGGACTCAGTGTTGTATTACTTGCCAACGTACTAAAATCCGTCGTCATACCAAGTCACCAAGCCTGGTAATTTCGCCACGCCAGACGGCCGTTTTCGTCATCTACACGTCGACTTGGTGGGTCTGTTGCCGGAAGTCCACGGGCACCAATACATTCTTACTATAATCGACAGGTTTTCTAGATGGCCAGTTACAATTCCTATTCAATCTACGACCGCTGAATCTGTTGCTAAGGCTATACTGAGAAACTGGATCTCGTTTTTTGGATGCCCATCAGTGATAACAACAGATCGCGGCCCACAATTTCAGTTTACACTCTTTAAGGAATTTATAAATCTTCTTGGAGCGAGACATATATCTACCACAGCATACCATCCTTGTGCTAACGACCTTGTAGAACGTTTTCACCGCCAGCTAACGGCCGCATTAACTAGCTCCAATGCTAATAACCAATTATCCTGGATGGACAATTTACCACTGGTAATGCTTTCACTCCGGTCACAGGTTAAGGAGAACCTTCAATGTTCACCAGCTGACCTTGTTTTTGGACAACCACTGGTTTTGCCAGGGCAATTTCTGTCCGATAGTACAGCCTCAAACCCTTCTTCATCTTTCATCCAATATCTACAGAGTAGGATGTTTACTTTAGCCTTTACACCTACTCGCTTCCAGACTAAGGATATCTTCCTTCCTACATTTTTGAACAAGTGTGACTTTGTCTTTATTCGACATGATGCCGTAAAAAAGCCACTCACTCCGAGTGATTCAGGTCCGTTCTGTATCCTTGCACGGCATAACAAATTCTACACCGTTCAACTTCCTAGTGGACGATCCAACATTTCGATTGATCGCCTTAAGCCAGCTTACATAGAACGGAGTACGGAACCCAACCAAACATCACAATCACCAACATTACCGGGCGATATACAGCAACAACCCCAAACACCTGCACACGAATATACAAAGAAAGGTAGAGAGGTCCATTGGCCTCGAAAATTCAAGAATTACATAACATATTGAAAAAAAAACTGTTATTCATCACCTTTTTCCAATCTGGTGGTGGGTGGTGATTGTAGTGATTACTACTATGTTTGTCACGCCTACATTTTTCTCAACAGTGATTGGTCAAATGATAAATACTAAATATCACAGGACAATTTACTGATCGCATTCACCCCACTGAATTTTTCCTACCGTTAACTCACAAACATGCTTTTGTTACAAAATCACCGATTGGTTAATTTTTCATCCAATCAGATATTTTTCATGTTCTTTCAAAATTTATCCCGCGTTCGTGCTGGGAGCCTACCGGCAATAATATAAGTCCGGATTCATTCCCAAATTAAACAATAGAGTTGAAGACAGTTGAAGACAGTAGAACTCGACTACTCACACGTGTTATTCATTCTACTCACTCCACGCGCACGCACACAGTCACAGAACTTGAATTTCATTCACCATCAGTTCTTTGTGAACAAGCCAAGTTGCAACAACTCTGTTAGTTACAAAACACACAACTGTACGATCTTCTGAATACACATTCTATTTTAACATAGAACTCTGAACATTCTATTCAGAAAACTTGCTTAATTACATTTCCTAATTCAACTAACAGATAAAGGGAAACTACTTTTTTCTTCTTATTCACACATTACAAATTGCTTTGTATTTGTTGATTTTAATATATATTTTATCGTTGAAACACAAATCGATTTTCCATTGTTTTTCCTTGATTTAAAAAAAATGTATAAATGTTAAATGCTCTTCAACACGCAGCCACATTAATCTTTTCAACAAAACACCATTTACATTGGTAACCCCAAAACTTAAGGAAAATAGCATTTACACTGTCTTCTATAGTACAATATTGTTAATGCAATATTACAATAAAATTATTTGTAATTTATTCTTATAGTAAATATATTTTTTATTGTACTCCTATGGTAAAATTATCAATAATGCAATCCTATAATAAAAACTATTGTAATTTATGTCTAAAGTAAATTTATTTATAACGCACTTCTATGGTAAAGTTATTTGTAATACAGATAAGCAAATAATGGTCACAATCATAATCGCTGACCATCACTTTTTACTTTCTGTAGTACATTTTATTAGTAATTTACTTGCTATACAATTCTATGGTACCGTAAAATTATTTGTAATTCTTTCTTATTGCAAATATATTTTTACTGCACTTCTATGGTAAAATTATTTGTAACGCAATTCTATAATATTGTAATTCGTAATATTACAATTCTATAATATTGTAATTCATGTCTAAAGTAAATTTGTAATGCATTTATCTCATACATTAATGGATCTCAATCTATCAAAACTGCTTGCATTAATTCTTGACCACTGGCCTTCAATTTTTAATTTTCCTGCAATGCTGATAGGAAAAATTATTAGTTGATGGCCAGGAATAAATGCAAGCGACATAGTAAATGCATTTACCATCTAAAACTCTTTACATTTACATTACATGTATTGTTTACTTCAACGTAGTGAAATGGTCAGCAAGATTGCCTCGTTACGATCATTGACCGCTGAGTAGTGAGTTCGATCCGCGTTGAGTGCCTCCTACTTTCGGCCTTGTGCCACATCTAGGGCACCTCGAGGTGGTGCAATGTTTAGCAAGCTTGTCTCGCTAGCAACAATTACGACTGAGTAGTGAGTTCGATCTTCACTGGGTGCCTCCTACTTTCGGCCTTGTGCCACATCTAAGCCATGTTTTGAAAATCACTTTACATTACACGTATAAAATCCTATTGTCAGAATTGCTTGCAATATATTCCTACAGTACAATACTGACGACCTCCGCTCAACTTAGAGTATCAGGGTTTTTTTTTATGATTTGAAAGCAAAAGAACCAGTGCTTAACAGTAGAATAATTTGTTTGGTTCAAGGCCGTATCTGTTGGGCACTTAGAGTAAATCGAGCACACGACCATAATGGTATTCTAGGTTTTATTATCAATCATTTTACTTGGCCTCGAAAATCGTTCGCCATAATCGCATCGGCTCACATGTCTTTTCTCAGATATAACCTGACAAAATTAATGACACACCTGAAATTATCCAATAATATTGTGTGTAAACTGCTCTCGAGTAGTTTGTAACACGTTTATTTGTCATCTCTCAGTTCCGTCTTTGTCTTTGGGCAGAGTGCACTCAGGGGCGGCTCCGTCAAAGGAGTGAGTCGCAACTGAGAAAAATTATACTGAGAGGTGCTCAGCCCGGGACCACAGCTGCCCGAGGCCGCGCCCTCCCATTGCACCAGAGAGAGGGATCGGTGCTCGTACTGAGGCCAGCGCAACCAACTGGTGTACGCGCTCGGCTCCCCACATTAAACTGACTTTGTGTCACAACCTGACCTCGTGGAGGGGTTGAGTAGATACAAATTATCAAATAAGATCATGGTGCTCGGAAGATAATGACGTTTTATCAGAGAAAGAAATAATAATAATAATAATGATGATGATGATGATGATGATGGTTGTGGTGGTGATGATGATTCTGTGAATTTATTTAAGTATATGAACTGGCTAAATGTAGATGTAACTTCTATGCTAACAGTTTCTTTTCT